AAGGCAGAGCTTTTTCTCTTATTTTAAGTGATTTTTCGTAAAATTCAAGTGCTTTTGAGTAGTCACCCATGTCGCTGTACACTAAACCGATGTTGTTGTACGAAGTAGCCAATGAGGGATGATTCGAAGGCAGAGCTTTTTCTCTTATTTGAAGTGATTTTTCGTACAATTCAAGCGCTTTCGAGTAGTCACCCATGTTCTTATACACGAAACCGATGTTGTTGTACGAAGTAGCCAATGAGGGATGATTCGAAGGCAGAGCTTTTTCTTTTATTTGAAGTGATTTTTCGTAAAATTCAAGTGCTTTCGAGTAGTCACCCATGTTCTTATACACGAAACCGATGTTGTTGTACGAAGTAGCCAATGAGGGATGATTCGAAGGCAGAGCTTTTTTTGTGATTTCTAGGTCTTTTTCGTAAAATTCAAGTGCTTTCGAGTAGTCTCCCATGTTCCTATACACTAAACCGATGTTGTTGTATGAAGTAGCCAATGAGGGATGATTCGAAGGCAGTGCTTTTTCTCTTATTTTAAGTGATTTTTGGTAAAATTCATGTGCTTTCGAGTAGTCACCCATGTCGCTGTACACTAAACCGATGTTGTTGTACGAAGTAGCCAAATCGGGATGATTCGAAGGCAGAGCTTTTTCTCTTATTTTAAGTGATTTTTCGCAAAATTCACGTGCTTTCGAGTAGTCACCCATGTCGCTGTACACTAGACCGATGTCGTTGTACGAAGTAGGCAATGAGGGATCATCTTTCGAGAGAGTTTTTTGCTTGATTTTCAGAGACTGTTTGTAAGATGCAAGTGCTTCTTCGTATTGTCCTTGGTCTCGTTTCACCCTCGCAAGTTGATGATAAACATGCGCTCTGTCACTATCATCCGATGCCTGCTCTAGTAGTGTCATATACAGTTCTTCGGCCTTGTCGATTTGACCTATTTGGTGCAGCAATTTACCGATTTGACATCCTCGGGTGCCGTCGACCTCTTTTCGTATAAAATCAGTTAATTCACGAAGTTGTGGGTCATCATCCGACGTAAGTTTAAGGTCCACTTGATAAAGTGCACGATTGTTGTCAATTTTTCGTACTTCAGCAATTCGGAACACGGTGTGCATGGAAAGGAGGATTTCTTCTTCTTCCTTGAAATAGCTTACCTCCCGAATGGAGGCGAATGGAGTCGATGAGACTGTGGGATCGATGGTGATTTGAAAAAGAATAGCAACCATATCGGTTGCTCCTAAGTTAGCTTCGGCTATAAAGAGGGAGAGATCGCGATCTGTACTGGTGGATAAAAAGTTATTGAAAGAAATAAGTCCATTTTTGTTTTTTAATAAGTTGTCAAAGTTTGCTATTGAGAGACCTTGCCCTCGAAAGACTGTGAAGGGACTTTCATGATATTGACTGACCTGCGTCTTGTGCAATATTTCGATTTGTCGATGAACATCGCATAGGAAAAATCCCATGCGAATAATAATGTCACCGTCTAATGTTCGCAATGCTCGATTGAGCATTTTGTACGTGAAGCACTCACGTGTATACCACCAAATCGCGTTGGATGGTTGATAGGTATGTTCGAATTCTTCAATAATTTTTGTTTCTTTAACATTGCCATGATATTTGTCTTGGCAAAACTTGACCAAATCTTTGATGGACTCTTGGACATGTTTTATATCAAGGAGAATCTCCTTAAATATTTGTGAATACATGAAGGTAGGTTCTAGCTGATTGAGATTTTCAGTAGAGCCTCCTTCATTTGCACCAATAATGCTTACTGACATGTTGTTTTGGTTGTATTGCTTGACAGCTATTTTCAATGCATCACAGATGGGCTTGATTGAAGTATGCACACCTTTAATTTTCGTCCAATTCTTGGCCCATTGTTCATGATGCTCTGTGCTGGTGCAAAAAATATAAATAGCATCAAGTTTTGGCATTTCATGAATGTCTGGTACGAGCTTTTGTCCAAATGCACCAGAGGAGATAACAAATGAGGTCTCCTCATTGCTTTTATTGAGCCATTGAACACATTGTACCGTTGTGGTGCATGGATTGATTTGGTTGACAACACCACGTAATTCCGCGAGTATCTGTTGACAATGTTCATTGTTTGGATCAATGGTTTCATCGACCCAGATGACCAAATAGTTTTCGGCCATGCGCTCTCTTCGCAGCATGGCTACCGATGAAGCTGTTGTACTTGCAGTAGCATCTGTTGTTGAATGGGCAATAGCTTCTTTGGAGTTTTTTCCATCCATATGTAATATAACTTGGTGTTGGATTGATGATTGAGTATCGTAAATACTAGATTGTGGTTTCTACAAAGATTACCTTTTCTATCTATATATTCGGTGTTCGCTGTTATTCTTTCTAAATATTCCTGCGACATCAAATGTGGGTATTTTTTATCATTGAAGATAAACCCTGCCTATTTTATTTTAAGAAAATATTTTTGTCAATGAAAAAAGGAAAGAAAAAAATCCAACAGTATCATTTATCTTATGATTATTCCCCCCAACTTTTATTTGCTCTTGTACACGGACTTTCGTTGTCCTTATGAAACGAGGTTTACAATGCAAGATAAGAAGAAACTCAGAACCAGTAAATGAAATGATAACAAGAAGAACAACGCAACGATAGAAACCGAGGATGTTATCGTCGTAAATTCGCAGGCGAGTGCAATCTTATGTTGGAGAAGACTAACAACGTAGGGTGTGGATGGTGTGAGTGATTGAAGAAGAATAAGCTACACCCACACCGGCACACTTTGAAACTCAAGGTCAAACTTCACCTGGGTGTCGTCAAAAGTATCGTTGTCAGCAACAAAAGATAGAGAAAAAACTCAGTAACATCATTTATTTTATGTTTATTCTTGCCAACTTTTGTTTGCTTATCATCTATATAATAGTCACTTGAAAGTCAGTGCGTTGGATATTTTGTCTCATTCAGTTTTTATTTGTCTTTCATTATCTCGAAACAAATAAAGATATTGCCACTTTTTTTTTATTATGCATAAGACTTGCTTTGTGATAATGTGAGCAAAAGACAATGAAGAATAAATTCAATATTGTTACAAGCAACCATAGAACAATAGTTTCTACTTACCCCCAATATACTGTTCATCATTCACGAGTTGTTCAAGTAAAATAACAGTAGCTCGAATATAATTAAGTATTGAAGTACGTATTATCAATTCCATGAAAGGACTAAAATATATAGATATTTTGAGATTTTTACGTCCATACGTATTGAGAGATAAGTTTTTTCTGAGTATAATACATATTTTGTTAATATAAAAGAAATTTTTGATCTTTCTAATCACGATTTTCAAATATTTAACTGTTGATGGAAAGGACAGAACAAAGAAAAAGAAATCTTACTTGGAAATGAATTAATATGTGATTACAAATATCCAGTTAATTTTTACAGCGTATTACAATGTTATTATGTATTGTTACATAATGATAGATGTTTTCATATTGTTTAAATTATTTTAGGTTTTTATTAATTACATTTGATTCATATTTATCATGATGTTAGTTACATTTATAATGCCATTATTTTCATAATTTCATATAACTATGGTTTAAAAGTGCTCGTTAGAAAGACAGATAATTTCCTTTATATAAACAAAATATTCATTATATTCAGAAAAAAATTTATCTATATATTTATATACTTTTTCTCAATATACATACATAGGAATGAAACAGTGCAAAATGTACTGTTCATATAAATATAGCGAACAAGCTTTACCTCAGTTTTCATGCTAATTTAACATAGAAACCAGTGCAAAGTTTTATCGATTTGATATTACAATATTTTAAAAATTGTCTACTTGCAGTTATGAATTTGACTCGTATCATATACTGCGATACAATTCCAATTCTAATTCAAATCAATTTTTAAAATAAAATTAACCTTTGGTTTTTTGCTATTTCGATAGAACAGTTATTATTTGAATGAAAATAGTTTTATTTCTGGAAGCTGATGTCATATGTGATAATGAAAGTGGCATTTTATTTCGAAGTAGTATTAGATAAGTACTACTATTTTCACGTTTTTTCAGTGTGTGAAATGTAATCGTGACCGTATCTAAGTAAGACTGACAGAATGAATTGATCATCACTCATAAGCTTGTTAATGTGTTTTTTGATTTATATTAAACTCCTTTGGAATATATTTATAATAAAAGACATCTTCTTTCATTGATATCCAAGATTCATAAAAAAAATATTCGAATTGTACGTGTCCACATGCAAGATTCACACAATTTTAATGTGCATCACAATAACAATGAGAAAATTTCTGCCCTATGTGTTAAAAGAACGTTAAAATCCATGTTCGAAGTATGATTAGTGTAATATTAAAAAGATCAATAAAATCGAACGACTGTTCAAGAATTTCTTGTTTTCACCGTAAGAAAGCATCTGAGTGATATAAATGAGAATGACTGTTTCAAAGACCTTCGTTCCAAAAAAAAACACGAAACAATATGAAATATCTTCTATCAGCGATAAATTTGCATTTTGGCATTTGGCTCAGTCAAAACACTAAAATAAAATGTATCGTACTGTAAATATGTCGTGGTCTGTTGGCTATTCGTATTTTTTTTCTAGTTTATTTTTCGTTTAAAATTTAGTCGAAAACATGTTGAGAAATAAATCGATGACTGAGATTGAATCACTTTGACGCAGTTGATTAATATGAATGCATACTGTTTGTGATTATATTGTAGGAAAAAGAAGCTGTTGATTCATTTTTGGACAAAGAAAATCTTTCGGATACATGT